ATTCTCAAGTCAGCTTGGTCGGGACTCACTCCCTATAAGCCTCGTCGAATATATCACCTTCCTATAAAAATGTCACTCAAGTCCGGGTGTAGGACTTATCTCACAACAAGGATACCCCAAGCAAGGTACAAGATATATATACAAGCAAACAAATAATGAAGCAAATAGTAAAAATAATAAACAAGGTGGAGGTAACCCTTAAAAGATAGGACTGTCCCCAGTGAAGTCGCCATTTTCTATTGCGGTTAGAATAGAATATCAAATTATTAATTAATTTGAATCACATCTTTAGTTCACAACCAGTCTTTGATTTATCCGAAGGAAAAGGTCAAAAGAAGGAAAACTTAATTTTTGCATCGTAAACAATGCAGAGAGAGATCTAGGTAAGGGGTTGGTTAAGCTTATGGAAGGTATTAGCACCCTAAACTTCTGTAGTACTCTACAGAAACCTTTTGTTTACATTTACTATTTTTCTTTAATTATTTGCTTGAGGGTATATTGCTAAGGGTTAAGAGTGACAGAAAAACCTAAGGGTTAGTCATAAGTTTACTCGCCAAGATTCACATCTTGTGCCTACGTATCCGAGGTAGGGGATGGAATCAGAGTAATCGCAGTTCCCCTCGAAAGGGAGGAAGAGAAACTTCTTGACTGTGGTCAAGGTTTCAAAGAGGAATAATCGATCTCAAGGAAGCTCTTACGTGGAGTGCGACGACTCCAATCTCTACGTTATAAAGAGTTGAATTAAAAATTAGGGTTAACTAGGTATTCCACGGCAGGAAACCCTAAAACGGAGTGCGGCGACTCCTTAACCTAATGTTAGTGTAATTTGGTCCACGGTGGGATGCCTATGTAATTAGAGTTTTGAAAGGGTCAAAGGTTAGGGTTATTGACTCGACGGTCAACTGCTAGACCTAATCCTTCATAGGGTTAACGGTAAATAACGTTGTGCAAAATAGTTAAGACGACAATATGAAAATATGGAAAAGTGCGAAAGCAGTAAAAACGAAAAAGCGACGATATACTCGCATAAATTACAACCCAACAAATGTAAAGGTAATGACGGAAAAGAAAGCGACGATCACTCGTGTAAATTACAATGATAAAAAAATAACAGAATAAAGCGACGATAGCCTCGCATCATTACGACCTAAAAATTGAAACATGAATATAAATCATGGATTAGTAAGCAGAGACAAATAAGAAATAATGTAGCAATTAGGCAAAATCAAATGGGCAGAGTTAGAAATTAGGCTAGAGGTAAATTACAAATTGAGTGGCAAAAGTGTTAGAAATAATTTTATTAAGTGTAATGCGATCAGAGTTAGTTAAAATGTTAGAGACATAAATAAAATTTTTAGAAAAAAAGATTTTTTTTATTAGGAATTTTAGATTTAAAAAAATAGATTTTTATCTTTTACAAAATGAATTTTAATAATTAAATGTTAGACTTCTTATTCTTGAAAAAATGTTAGATTTAAAAACAGTTAGACTTATTTTGAAGGTCTGTTTTAATTATAAAAAGGTTAAGTTTTAAATTATAAAAAGAATTAGTAAGTTTTAACAAAAAAGTTTTAAACAAAAGGTTTTTATTTTATTAAAAAGAGGGTTTAAAATTCAAAAAGGTTTTAATTTTAATTTTAATCTTTTTAATGAACTAAAGTTATAAACTTAAAAATAAATACAAAAAAATGGTTTTATAATTTTTATTAACTAAATTCTACAATTGTAATAATAATAATCATAAAATAGAAAACACAAGTGAAATAAAAAGGGAAGGGGGGCCGTGTTGCTGTTAAGACTTTTTAGGGGTTTCATTGAGAAGCCTTTTTCTCCCTCTTCTCCAAGCGGCGGCGTGATTGACCCATTTCTGAAGCTTTTTCAGTTTCCTTTCATTCTTCCTTGCATGACCTCTTCTTCTTCTATGAACCTGAAAAACAAATAAAAAAAACTCAATCGTAAAAGAAACCGAGTTGCTCACCCTCTCTTGGTTTGAAGCGGCTCGAGGTGGCTTTGTTCGTTGGAAATAAAGGACGATGATGAAGAAAAGCTGAGGCTTTTTGGACTTGGCCGGAACGTTGATAATGGTGAATTCTGCCGTTTTTCGGTGATTTCGCCTCCCGTTCTGGCCGCCGATTTCAGTGATTATCTTGTTCGTGTTCTTCTGATGTTGGGATGATAAATGATTTAACGTTCTTCTGCTTCCGAGTTTATGAAAATCCGTCCCTTTTACTGTTGTTTGTAATCATTTTTCATGATGTTTTGGGTTTCTCTTCTGAATCCCCCTTTTTGAACTGATGATGTTGGATTTTATATTATCATTTCTTTTGGGCATGGATCTGATCCTTATGACGATTTAGGTTACAACTTTTCCGGATTTTGTTGTGAATTTGGGCGATTTTTCAGGATGGTTGACTGGCTTTGCGTTTTGGCTGTTGTGATTCGCATTTTTCTCTGATAAATTCGTTGCTTGCTTGCATGAATGTTGCGCTTTTTTCAGGGAAGTTGTTTGTTGCGAAAATGTTGTTGATCCGCTGGCTTCAGAAATGCTTGAGAAATTCTATTAGTGCCTTGTTTGGCCAGACATACTTTTTTGAAATAATCACTTTTTCCAGAAGCACTTTTTTGAATAATCACTCACTCTCTCTCTCTCTCTCTCTTGGTTGGATAACTTGAACAGAAACTGCCGGTCTTATGCTGGGGTCGAAATTGAGACGGGAGCTGGCTTCGACTTCCTCGTTGCCCTCCCGACGTACCCGTTGATGAACATTTCTTGAGGGTATCGAAATCAAACAAACTTTTTTTCTTAACGATAAAAAAAATTGCTCGTTTGTCGTTGATTTTGCAGGTTTGAAGGAAAAGATCGGAAACTCGAAGAATCGGAAGCGGGAGACATCCTTAGGATCATTTTAGGAATTTTAGAAAAAAGAAATTTTATTCTTTTTGGATATTGTAATAAAATAATAGCATAAATAAAAAATCTATTTCATTATTTAGATATTGTAACAAAATAATAAAATAAAAATTCTATTTTTCTATTGAATTTCTCAATCCAATTTATCCGATTAAATCTCATCTTCGATAAAATCTCCGAATAACTCATCCGGTAACTTATACAAATAACCTCATCAGAATAAATCCAACTTGTTCGATTAAACACAAATGACCAAACTCTTTCAATTCAAGCTCATTCAAATAAATTCAAATTGATTAAATCCAACTTGTTCAATTAAATTCAAATGACTAAAATCTTCCGATTAAATTTATCCAGGCAAATCAAACTGATTAAATTCCTTCAATGAGATTTATCCGAACCTCCACTATTCCTTTAAAATCGACTGTCGACTAGCAGAAAGCAGGAAAACACGCATTTGTCACAATAAATTCTTCAAATCAAATCTTCACACTGATTTAACGTTGAAACTGCCGTAAAATTCCGCTCATCATAAAATAACTCCCATGACTCGGAGGCGAGCGCACAGTGTGATTTTCCTGCAAAATCAACAGACTGAACAAACCGGTTAGCTGTTAGTTAAAATGTCGTGCGAAATGAGATGACGTGCGAAATGAACCTAATAATCTCAGGGCAAAAATTTGAGGTATTACAATTATCTACTATTAATGTATTCAAATTATCATAAATGCAGAATGAGATAATAATAAATTGAGAGTATTAATTAAAAGATAAAAATAAAATTTGCATTGAAAATTAAAAAATTTATAAGATACAACACTTATTTTGAAACAAATAATTTTATAAGATGCGACACTTATTTTGAAACAGAAAAAATATCATTTACTAGAATACATTTATTAATTATAATTAATTAAATAGTTGAATAAAATAAAAATTAATAAATATAAATATAATAGTTAAAAAATAATAATAAATGTTGTATTATCTACAATTATTTTAAGATAGAAAAAAATATAAATAATGCACTTTTCGTAAAAGTTACTTTAGATAAATATTTTTACTTAGGGAGTATAGATTAAGATATTGTTTTATAGCTATTTATTTTTCTTTTTATCATTGGAGCATATTTATGCGACATGATGAGTTTGATAGAATAATAGAACACACCTCATTTAAGATACATACATCCTCATGTGATTTGTTTGATGATTTTTTTTTTTTGGTTCAAGAGCTTGATGTTTTTTTTTTTTTTTGGTTCAAGAGCTTGATGTTTTTATTATTGAAACAAAACGAACGCACGCACGCTGTTTAAATATGCATTGGCATTGTGGACTCACTTAAGATACATATATTGAGTTTGGAGATGCTTTAATGGTAAAAGTTACTTAGTGTTATATATTGAGCTTGGAGATGCTTTAATGGCAAGAGTTACATAGTGTTTTAACCCAACATAGTCTTAATCTAATTCTTATTAAGTGGTGGACGTAAGTAAAAATTCTTAAGGACATCCCATAAAGATAATGCGAAAAATTCTTACAAATAAAAAAATTAGAATTACTGATAAAAGTTGATAAATGAAGTCATCAATATAATCTATACATAGAATTAGTAACTACTTCCTCCATTTCTTTTTAGGTGATAAATTTTTATGTTTTTAATTGTTACTTACAAAATTTATCGTAGTATTAATTGCACTTTTGTCAAAATTACTTACCTCTAAGTAATCATTGCAGATATATAAAAAATAAAATAAATGTAATAAATGATTAGTGGTATTATAAGATAAATGTAATAAGTGGTATTATAAGATAAATGTAATAAATGATTAGTGGTATTATAAGTAAAAGAAAAATTGTTGTTTGAAAAGTAACAATATTTGATGTATAAAAAGTCAAATGACACAAAAAAAATGAGGGAGTAATGAAAAAACTACCTACCAATCAATAAACAACCTTAATAAACTCTTAGGGTGAGTTTGTTTCAAGGTATAAAATAGTATTTTTTGGAATCCTATTCCCAGGATTGTTATTTCTAGGAATAATATTCTTATGCAATGGTCAAAAATAAAAGGAATGACTAAATTTGTTTAACTTGGAGGTGATGGTGGAATGTGAGATTTGGCCATCCCCACCCACACTACTAGACCTACTGCAAGAATAATCCATCCAAACATGTCATATTTAAAGTCACTGCTCTTCTGCTTTTTGGATACCTGAAATGAACCAATCAATGCCCTGTTAAATTCATGTACAAACAAACCAAAACAGACATTCCTCAATTATACAAACACGTATTCAAGAAAAATATTCTATATTTCTATTCATTATAGATAGATGATTGGACACAATCTCAAAAAATCATGAATAATTTTTCAGATTCAGTATTTGCCAATACAAACCCAACTCTAACCGCATTATCATAGTCAGCCAGATGGCAAACAATATTGTGATAGTACTTTGAAAGGCACCTGGACCTGCAAATAATACAAGCATACAAACAAAGACACAAAGCGGCACAAATAATTTGATGAATTGACAATACAACAACCTAACATCATTTTACTTTACTAGAACATGTTTAGTTACTAATTTTGAAGAAATTAAACTATATCGGCAATGAACACAATGCAAACAAAACTTTCTTGGAGATGACTTTTACGCATAGCAGGATATTTACTCCAAATTTGAGGCCTAATGGTTCTCAACAAGCATTTATCGTAGAATAAGAACTGCATTTGAGCTTTAGCATTTTAAAATTATCAAAAGCCATCTTTTTACATTTGACATGACCAGTTACAGTTAGTATTTGTGAGAATGAGAACATGGCAAAAATTAAAGTAGAATGTTGGCAAATCCAACCTGTCCTTTTGAAGGAGAGGACCCGCCATGACTCATCTGACCAAGCCCAGGCCCACTTTTGTGAATCTCCATGTGTAGTTCTGGGGCCTGCGAGACATGGATTACAGACATTCATCAGAGTAGAAAAGATACAATGGCAAACAAGTTCCATATGATATTCATATATAGTACAAGGAATTGAAAAAGTAATCGCCCAAAATGCATACAAAAATAATATCAAGCTGTTAACGATTTTTTTTGTAAAGTTCCTCTACCGGTAAAACTTACAAGCATGTGAAAAAGGCAAACATCACAACCATTTTAACCATCCATTGTGAACCATATAAGTTCCAATAATGCAGATGGATACACACAAAGTAAAAATACACATTTGTTGTCTCCAATCCAATCTGATTGCCTTAACATCACTTAACCTTATCTCCATACAAATACATTAACCATAAACAAAACCCACAATATATGGTATAAGCGGGCATTGTGATTTACAGAACAAACACTCGACAATTTATTTAATTTTACACAAGTCTTACTCAATACGGAAACAACAGAATCTGAATCAGTCAATAATAAAGTAAACCATTAAAACCTCAGATAAACCATATAGTAAATAGCAGCCATGACCCATCAACCAAAGGTTAACATTTTCAGCTAAAAACCAGAGTATACAAGGTCCTTTTAGCTGATTTGCTAATCTTTTTTAACAAATTTTTGAACACAAGAATAAAATCAAGTGCAGAAACAACATGAAAAGAATGAATGGCCACACATCTATTATTTACATTACCTTAAGAGCAACTTTCAAGGATTGTCTGTAGAGACCATTTTCAGGATCCTACAATATTAGAATCCACCATTAATAAACTTCAAAATCCCAGTCTGTCATTATATGTTAAGAAGATAACAGAAAATGCATTACCACGTCAACAGCTTTCTGGAAATACCCATAGGCCTTGTCAAAATAAACCTTTGCATCACTAAAATCAGGAGTTAGAAATGCACAAGACGTGAGGCCGTTCCCCAAGCACCAAAGAGTGTAATGCTTTGTTGGATCGATTAGTAAAGCCTCCTCCAACTTAGCAAGTGCATCTGGAATTAGTTAGTAAGTTCAGTTCCCATCAAAACTCAAAATAATTAATCTCGTAAAATTTCAATTAAAAATTGTCTCTGATTTTAGTCATGATAGATATACCTTCAATCATCTTCTTGGAATCCACAGGACTTTGGCATGACGACAACTCTATCAAGGCTTCTGCCCACTTGGTAAGATTCTATATCAATAAAAATACACACATATGTTCATACACATTTATCTCATGTTTAGCTCTACAGCGACAAAAAATGATTTTGATTGAGCATACATTTGTTTCTACGTTGGGAAGGACCTAAACACACTAAAAGAAAGTTACAATTTCGTACTTCTCACACACTACAGCTTTGGAATGTGAAGCAAACTAGTGAAAAGTGAATAAAAACAAGAACTGGATTGATTCTGTAAAATTTATTTTCAATTTACAATGAATATAAGATAAAATAATTTACTTTTGAATACGATTCTGTTTAAAGTCACTTCAACAATAATCTTGAACGTAAAATCACAGTCATAATCAATTCTACAAATAAAATCAGGTCTAATAAAACTGAACAAGAAAAACAAACAAAGTGAAACAGTTTCATTGAGCACAAATTAGTAACAGAAACTTTAGAAATAGCATACGTATGAACATAGTAACAAAAAGAAAAAGATTATTAGGTTAACAATGAAAAACGATACGTACATCAGCGTCAAGAGGATTTATAGCGTAGTTTTCTTCAGCGGTTTTACGACTCCGCTCCGATAATAGTAAACGGTCAAAATCATCTTGAGAAAACTCCATTTTCGGTTCTTGTGATCGTCGGAAAAAAAAGTGATTCTGCCACCGCAACCACGCCGCAAATGCAGTAGTATTGAGAAGAAGAAATATTTGGGCCCTGTACATAAATTCAAATATTGGGCCTGAAATAAAAGCCCAATTAAAAAAACGCGGGAGAATTAATTTAATATGACAGTAATATCCTTACATTTTCCCGCCAAATCAAAACCCTAATAATTGTAGAAAGAGCGAAAAGTTGAGAAATGAGTTGTTAATGGTTATGGTTATGGTTATGGCAGAGGAAGAAGAGAACGCGTTATCGAGCGAACCAGAATTTCCGAAGAGTCGAGTGAAGAAAATAATGACACTTGACAAAGACGTGAAGAGAGTGAGTTCAGAAGCGTTGTTTCTGGTGTCGCGATCTACGGAGCTTTTTTTACAGTTACTTGCTGAAAAGTCTGCGCAGGTCGCAATTGAGAAGAAGCGCAAGACTGTGAAGCTTGAACATATAAGAATCGCGGTGAAGAGGAATCGGCCTGTAAGTGATTTTCTTCTCGATTCGCTTCCGTTGCCTTCTGAAGGAACTAAATCCGATAATCCCGTGGCGGTTGTAGTTGATAAGGCTAAATCTGTTCCGGTTGGTACTCGCCGCATTGATCATATATTCCGAAAGTCGGAAGCTGAGGCTCCTGAACCGGTGCCTGAACCCATGGAAGAGTCATAGGTTGTGTTCAATTATACTCTCTGTAAATGAGATTTGCTTCTTATGTTAATGGTTAGCAAAGTGATTAGCAAAACGATGAGAATCTAATTTGTAAGCACCTCCTTAAGAATATGTTATGTTTCTTTTTGCATAGTTATTAATCTATTCAATTATGAATCTATGATCCAAACTCCAGTAGTAGTTATTTTATGTTTATTGATCTATTAACGTTGCTAAATGCAATCCTTTACTAATTTCAGTTTTGCAAATATTGTATGCGATGATTATTGTGCAATTTCTCTTTTTGACGTGTCTCCCATGGAATTGGAACTAATTTAGTTAGCCGTTAAGACAGTTAAACCGGGCTTGGCCTATTGATAGTCCTTAAACTAGTTAAACTGGGTTGGCCTATATATATACTGCAGCTTAGTGAAGTTTAGGTTTTTGTAATGTCAGTGAAATTCTTGTGGTTTTCTTGTCTGTGCCCTATTCATGCCTAACGAGCAAAATGGTTTCTCTTTTAGTTGGTGCGAAATTGCAAATAAAACAATGAACTGATTAGTTTGTGGTTGATATCTAGTACAAGCTAATCAATTGGGTACCTTAAGAGCAAACACATAAGTAGAGTTTGAATTTATTCTTTTGCATGTTCACAAACAGTATGGGAAGCGGGCTATATGAAACATCAGTCAAAATATATGATTCTTGATAAAGAAATTTAAGGAGAAAATGGTCCATAATGCGTGGACACCATTGAAGATGCATCGTCTCTCATATGAGAAGTGAAGACAGGTTCACCAAAAATCTTTTTCCTTTGTATCTTCCTTCCGTCTTTAATGAAGGATATTCCTTGATTTCCTGAATATATGCTGTTTGATCCTAGTTGTTGGATACTCATTGGGAGCCTTTTGTTCATGGTTGCCGAACATTCTGGACTCCCGTTCAAGCTTCTACTTGGAACACGTCTCATGCTGGTGCCTGGTCTTGACGCATATGTATTATCTCGTTCAAAAACTATTTGGCTCTGGACCTTCTTCTTTTCCCACGACTGCGAACCAAACACAAAGAGGAAGTAAGAATAAGGTTATTATTATGGAGTAGAACAATTTACATGGCATGAATATTTTCATGAACAACATAATGTTAGCAGCGATTAAATATTTGCTTTGAACTGATTTGTGAAGCTGTCACTGTTTATTCGATACTTACCTGTTGTTGTCTTTTCTTGTCCTCCTCCTTTTCTTGCCTTAGAATGTTGTATTCTTCCAATATTTCCATTAGAGGAACCTACAGATGTCATTTTGTCTTGCTGTTATTGACTTAATAAGGCACAACATGCTACAAAAGGTCAGTCAAGAAAATACATATCGTGTCATGAAAAGAAACTGGGAAAGTGTAAGAGCCTATCAGTCTATTTGATTTCAACAATGGCAAAACTGTATAGTTTGATTCTTGGAATTTTTCTTTTTCTTTTTTTTTGTAATTTTGTAAAATGCTGAGGTGTAACTATTCCTTTTAAAAGAATGTATGAATGGTTTGTAGCATAACATTACTTGATTTACATAGGTTGCAGTATGATGCATTTTGTAAGAAGAAACTAGAGTTTCCTTATCACTATCATGCTATGCCAAAATTTTCCTTACATAATTGTTGAGAAGAGGTCTGAGTCTGTGGATTTTTGTTCCATTGATACTTATGGCACGTGTCTGGAGACATTAGGTGAGAATGGGATCTTTATAATAATAAATAACTATATTATATAGGTGAATTGTCATGACTATTTGGTCTTTCTTACCATGTTGAATTTTTTTATGAATTGTAAAATCTTCTCACTTGTTCCCTTTTAAGAATTATTTGGACTGTTTTATATGCACTTTTTAAGTACAGATTTTCTAATGTAAATTAATAGAGAATTCAAAATGTTGCAGAGTGTAAAATATCTTACCTGATCATACAAGAAAACTTTATTTCTTTCTGCTTCCCAACTCCTAGTCATTTTTATAAGCAAATCTACCAGAGCTGGAGAGTAGCAACCACTGAGTGTAAGCATGTGTGTGATTGCTGCAAGTTGATCCAAATTATATTGTTTTGATCTTATCATACATACCTGGCATTCTACTGACCATTATACGGGCACGTTCAGCTCGTTTCAAGTTTTTATGAGCTCCTCTACTGACTGAATATCGTCTCTCATCCTGATAGCACATTTGGATTATGAACCATATCACAGATGCAGTCATTATTTAATTCTACTTATGAAGGTTGATTCAAATGAAAATTCTAACCATGCTGTATTCTTCTAGCCAGCGCTCCTCATCACGTGCTAGCACCCACTTCTCAACTTTTTCCATTATAGCCTTCCTACTCGAAGCCTCTGCTTTTGCTCTGGAGATCTGTTCATCCATGCTCGTGAGGAGATCGGAATGGTCAATCTCCCCTTTTATAGATGCAAGTCAATTTTTAGGCTGTTTTAATACATTTTTCAAATGGATTACACACATTAGTTAGATTCACCTGAATTTATGAGGCTAATTATATTGTTCATTTCTGTCCGTGAAGGAATCTCCACGTGTGATTTCTTGCATATGAACTCCAGTTCCTCCTGCTTTTTTTGGAATAGCTCCTTCATCTTGCTTGCTTTTTGTTGATCTAGTCTTTTTACTTCAGCTTCAGTCTTGTAAAAAGTTGAGGCTTTTTAAAATATCCGAGATATTTATACTTTGTAGATCTTTACGTTAGATACGTACCTGCTGGACTATCTCTAGAGTAAGACTTCCGGGATCTGATACCTCCGCCGATGAGACTGACAACAAATTGACTACATGGGAAAAAGGTTGTCTATCACGGTAAGGTGTATCCATAAGATTCCAAAGATTTGATAGTGCTTTGCCTAAATGGTGAAGCTGCAAAACATATCAAAAGTACATTTTGGTTACCTTTCATGCATCAAAATGTTCCTTAATTTTGTATCCAGAATGTTATATTGATGAAAAAAAGAATTGGAGGTAAAATATGTCTCCTGGTTTCTTTGGGAACTACATTACTCCTTTTGAAGGGGACAGAGTATGTTTTGATAAGGTATGTTTTAACAAGCTTTTCAAAATTCACATATTTATATAAAGCCCCAAAATGAAACAAGAATGTATCAATTCACCTTGTCAAGACGATTTTGCTTTTCTTCATAAAGAGACTCGACCGTGATATTGAGTTTATGTAGGATAGCATCACTTATATTTTTTGTTATGCCGCACAAATCATTCAAGCTAGGGTGAACTTGCAAGATGATTGCAGATGAATCCTTTCCCAAGATTGTCGACAAGCTATGTATTTTGTCTATGTATTTCTCCACTTGCTGGAGTCTTTCATTCTTCAATAATCACAAAAATGTAAATTTAAATAATACTATACTACCCCCTTAACGGTGGGGTGAAAAACATGAATTTATTTTAGCTACCTTCTCATTGTAAAGCCTTTGCAGCTCATTCTGATAATCCTCAAGTCTTTTTAGCGAAAGATCATTCTCATTCACTGCAATGGTTGAGAGTGCATCGTCTGAGTTACCTGCAATTTCTGCAGAAATTCTTTGCATTTGTCCTTGCACAACTCGGAATTGGTTTAATCTCTCTTCTTTCCTCAAGCGCATCTCACGGAGCGCTGGAGTTATAGAATCTAGCTGCTCTTTTAGCGTACCCGCCCTTTTTTCTGGCTGTACAGTTACTAACATCAGTCTAGTGTCCATACTGATTCACGATTTCTAGTCTAAACATACACATCTATTATTGAGTCACATTTAAGAATTAAGATACTTTTCCAAAGTTGCATAGTTTTCTAAGTTTATCTCTGCACAGCAACTAATCTGTTTTATGCTACCTTTCTCACAACTAACACATTACATAGAATATTTTGTCTGCTTTGAAAAATAAGACATGTTATAAATGGTTGTTTTAATACTGAGTTGAAGGGGTACCCGTCCAGGAAGAGATCGTTCACCAAGGGACAAAAGAAGGTGAGTAAATTCCGCCTCAGCTTCAGCCAACTCCTGATGCAGACTAGCTCTAGATGTATTTGCCCTGTCAACTTTTTTTCTGTAAACCTCAAGGCACTCTTGCTCCATATCCAGTAGAACCTTTTCTCTCTCGAACTTGTCTTCTCCAATTTCCTCCCAAATTATCTATAAGAAAAAACTTGAAATGTGATAAATATCATCTAAAGACATAATTAAACTTTGTAAAATAATGATATCACTTCTTGCCTGCAGCTCCTGTAACAGGAATCCGCACGAGGTCTCTAGCAATGCGGAGCTTCTCATTCCGATCGGTGTCTGGAATGATCCCATTTGGATGGAACTATAGACACAATGCTAAAGAGTGAAATTCTGAATGATGAAGATGAAGAAGCAAAACTCAAGTCCGACGAAAAAGAAGTTTTGGTGTCAGTGGAGGTAGTATTTTTGCCATTTGGTATTGGATTTTGCTTAAAAGACAAGGGTGGCAGAGGTGGGTAATGCAAACTTTGGGTTCAAGAATCAGTCAGTTATTTGATCCTTCATACTTTATCTTTTTTTGTTCCCTTAATTTTTTCTAACATATATAACTGTCTTTGTCTGTGGAACCTAAAAAATTGATGGAATTCCTTATTTAGATATGTCAGATGTGATATCTGTTTTGCACCACCAGGCTTTGTAAAATACAGGCTTCTTTTTTTTTTTAAGACTTGATTCCTACGTTATCTTTCTAAAGCAAATGATTCTGATTTTGATTGGGAAAGATAAGTATGAGATAATTATTTTGTTTGCTTTTTGTAATGAATTATAAGGTTGATTATTTTCCTTCTAAGTTTTAAGAAGTGTGATCAAATATAGTAGGACATCATTATCACGTGTATTGCGAGCTTTTTTTGTTGTAAAATAATTGTAATAATAATTAAAAAAGAAAAGTAGTTTATTTAGGTGCAAAGAAAACAGCACTAGATATGATTTTGAGTTCCTACAGAAATTGGATGAATGAAACGTTCTACCTTATTCTAGCAAGAGATAACAAAATACAGTATTAGAGATGTATGATACTCCCCCGTGCCATATTATAGGTTGTATTTTTTAAAACAAAGCAGAATAGTACAATTGACGTGGCTAACTCTTCAACTTTTTTTATTGGTTGGTTTTTATACGGAGATGAAATGAACAACAACAAAATTATTCTTCAAGATGGATGATAAGAGTAGAGAAATATTTTGATCAAAATTAGTTCTTTAATGTAACTTTTTCTTTTGTAATTGATAAATTATTTTCTTTAAAGTATACTAGTTAAAAATGTTTAATGTTGTTAGGAAAGGATGAACGTAATTGTTATTGTTGAGATTTAATATTTCTAACAATAACAACAACAATCATTAACATTCCTTAGTTACATTCATGATTTCCTAACTAAAATCAAATATTTTAACAAACATCCATTTGATAAAATATTTTATCAATTACAAGAAAAGATACATTAGAAAATCAATTTTAAAACATTTCTCTTTTTTGCAATTTATCTATAATTGTATGGTACTTTATGCATTGTTTTCATTATCAATGTTTTCATTACATTAAGTTTGCATTTCATCACTCTGCATCTAAGATAAGTCGTTGTAGTATTTACGTTCTAATTTGTTGGTGTGAACTTCATGTGGATACTACAATAATCTATCTTAGATGCAATTGTTGAGAGATTCGAATGAGGGTTGATCAAAGTTTTCTCTTTAATTAACAATTCAACCAAGAGAATTAAGACTAATGTCCTAATCAATTAAGAGTATTCATAATCCATTATGAAGTTAAACCTTGCTTTAATCGATTAAGCATTGTATATAAGCCTCATAAGTATTTAGGAACACCCTTAATTAATTCCACAAGCACTGTTTTAAGGAATTTTATCAAAAAGAGATGTTTAAATACATTTAAGTGACTGTGTGCATTGTCTTATTAGTTTTGGAACTACTCTAATATCCTTTACAAGTCTTTGATTACTTTCTCTCTTTCACAAACTCTGAAACTTCAAAATTCTTTACTTGATACATAAATGATTCAATATTTCATATAATATTTGACTACTTTAATTTGATGAGACTTGATGAGTCTTCTTCATAAGTATCATCATTAGAGAGATTTCTAGACTAGAGATTATTAGTGATTCCATTAAACACTAGTTGACATTAGGTGTTTTTCTTAAGATATTTACTTTGACATCTTGATCTCCTAAGCGTAACAACTTGATCATCACTTCAGACGAGGACTTCGTCTCATAGTATTACCATCATCAAAATTATATATGTTTGATGTAGACATTATATCTGCAAACACATAGATCCATAAAGTTCTCATGCTAGAGACCAAAGTAGGAGACATCTTCTTTATGATTGTAAACCATCTAATAGGCTTGAATTTTCACTTAAATGGTTTAGTTATTCAAACCGTCTATCATGTTTCTAATTTTGCCTCATACCATCTTTTGTCCAAGCCGCATCTTTCTCTTGCCTTTCAATTATCACTTATTCATATTCCTATTAATTTTCTCGAAGCCCTTGAAAATCCTAAGTGTCTGTTTGGAAGTTAATTTTTGAAGAATTTTGGAAAGGGAGATTTTGGAGGGTTTTAATCGATTATTGAGAAAGTTTGTCCCATAATCGATTACACAAATGTCATAAGCAATTAGCCAAACTTCATAATGGGTTAAGTTTCAATTTTCAAAATTTTCCCCAAACCAAGATGTTCTAACTTTTGGCTTTGTTTTTTTGATGAAGTTCCTTAACTTTTGACATTTGTGTACCAATTACCAGAAACTTTTCGTTTTTTTTATTTGTTTCAAACTTTTTTTTTGTCATCATCAAAACCTTTGACATATCTTTTCAACACATAAAACCTTTAACATACAATTGACCCTATTGCATGTACTATACTGAATCCGATAGTAAATTCAATAATTTTTTTCCTATAAAAACCTTTGACATCTTCAAAATATTTAACACTGTTGCATATTCATGCCTGAATTCGGATCTAGGACCTCTGATTAAGAGGGAAAAAACACTTTGCATCTCATCCAAAGAGTCAATAATTTTATTTTAAAACAAATTTTAAAAGTGCATTGAAATACAAACCATCCAATTTTAATCGAGCAAACACATATAAATGCGTAAATACGGCAAATTTGGGACAGCAGATTATCTAACTTCTTACTTAAGGAGGAATGTAAGAAAACTATGCGTTATCAACAAATTTTGCACTCTTTTAGTAAAAACTTTGAAAATATATGTTTCAACTAAAAACACGACACTCTTGAATGTTGAATTTTAAGGTCAACCAAGTCTAAAAATCAACATAATGAATATATCAGCTCAAATCAATGACTCTAGAATAGTAGTAGCATTACATTACAGGGTGAAAAACCTGTTCAACAATTTGGTCAATTAATTGATCCACATCATCTAAACTCTCTCCCTATCACTAATTAGTCAAAACTTGAAAACAAAGGCCTGTCAAAGTGAGAAGAATTGCATAAACACTTCTAAAGAAATGATGGGGATGAATAACAGTTATGCTAGTAATGATCAACTTGAGCCACTTATCAAGAAAGAAGACTGTAAGAAGGCATGTCTTCAATCCGTAGAACATCATCAATCATCAACTCTTTCTCCAGCTGAACTCGCGTTGATTTCAAGATATCCTGTAATCATAGGAATAAAAAAGAAACACGACTATGATTTTCGACCCCTTTGAAAGAACATCTTATTTTACATATGATCATATCAATTTTTCTCACATTAAATTGCATGTACGTAGCGTCTGTCTCCAACCACTGTTTGTCCATGACCACAAATGCAACGCAATAAAGTAAATCGAATGCCCATTCATTTTCTGCAAATGTTGACAGTAGCATAAGAATGTTAAGAAATCAATTTTCAAAACTATGCCACAGAATTTTGATCAATTCAGCTTGTATATATAGTTTGTAATTCTTACCTGAAAGCATTTGTAGAAAAACTGTTCTAATGAAAGTTCTGGGTTTGGCTGCAATTGAAGAAACTTCCCAGCATTAGCAATAGTGTTCATTAAAAATGACAAAATGAACTTTATAGGAGGGGCAACTAGACCCGTGTTTAATTATATAGGAAAATGTTAACAAAACGGATGTTTAAGGGCATGTTTGAATTGACCGTGAATTTTGCAGAATCACGGTGTATCACTATGATTTTGTCAAACTCGTTGTCAATCCAAATAGGCAACAAAAAACTTTGGAGCAAAATGTATTGCGACAAAAAGGCTCATCCTCGTGACGTACTTGCTGCATCAAGGTCTAACATTTGCATAATCATGAAAGTAATATTTACGCCAGCCACAGCAAAGGGATACTCAAATACAACTCCCTTTCTTCCTTGCTTCATCAAAAGATTCTGAAAAGAAGTCTGCAAGATCAACAGCGAACTTCAAGATAAATGAAGATAAAGGATCCATTCTGAAAAGATTGTAGCTAGTTAAGATGCTTACCGAGAATGTCTTAGCAAAGAATAGGAGGTTCTCCAATGATATAAAACCAGCTCCTCTGTACAAGAAATTGGTCCACAATAGTAGAGTAAGTAAAACTGTCTCAAGAACAAAAAAAAACATAAAAACATAAGAAAGTAACGATGAGCCAAAATATAACCTGAAATCAGTAGAAGGATCTCTTCCCTGCCACCCCATTTCTTTCCATTGATCAGAAACCAAACCACTGAGCTCATGACCAGGGAATGAAGCAGACCAAAGAGCTCTCAAAGCATCCTATCCTTGAAAGAATTTCTAATTGAGTGACTTAAAATACTGGTTACAAAAATATGCGATGAATGTTAAAAAATTTAATAGTGCTGAATTTAGTTTGAAGTTTGAACTATCCATTTTTCATGTCAAACCGCTGGTATAAATTTAGCAGAGAATAAGATTACAGCAAATCACTCAACAGCAAGTAAAATCAGTTGCTGATGGCGGAGAGCTAAAATCCTGACATACCGTCCGCAAACCGTTATACCAGATTATGGTGGAAAAATAGGCAATATAGGCTGATATTTACCAATTCAGCAAGCCCGAAAACCGTCATGTATATCCGCCATAGCGGTGTTGGCGCCACTATTTGATAACACTGAGTAAAATAAGAAAACACACGCCAGTACCAAAAAAGTTATAGAATATACCTGGTGATCAAGCTTGGAAGCATCAAAGTAAACTTTCATTCTGCATTTCAATCTTCTAAGCCTTTCCTCCTGCACTTTTCCCTACTGCTATAAGTTTTGCATATATGAAACAAAAAAGACAATTTGAAAAACACCAACAGTTCAACAGACTCAATTCAAGAAGAAGAAAGCTTCAAAATTATGAAATTAATTAATGAAGCTAATTACAAATTAGGCAAGTAATTAGCAAAAAAACTGACCTGTAAAGGGGTCAAATTAATGCAGACGGGTTGACAGTTTCCCTTAGGCTTGAAACAAACACAGGTCAGCCCTTTACCAATCCAATGAGGGGAGCCATATGTTGTATCATCTGCATATAACCAATCAGAAGAGTTCCTCATTCAAACCCTCTTTTCTTTCTCACAAAACTAATCACTTAGTTGAAGAAATGAGTTAAATCACAAATCTTTTACTATTATACTATTTTACAAACAAGTTTATTACAAAGCAGGTAATCAAACAGTGTGGTAGAGAAGAACAAGAAGAGGAAATTTTCAACAGTGTGCATTGTCGTGTTTTGGCCCGACAAGCAAAAAAAGAAAAATGACATAGACAAGCCATGAGGTATGATGTATTGTTGGGACTATGGACCACAAAAAACCACGTGGATAGATTAAGATTATTATATAATGTTATATTATATGTTATGTTATCCTCTCCATGTGATGTGTCACATACAGTTTTTTAATTGTTTTTTATTTTCTCTTTCCTTTATGCATTCTTGTGACCTGAAGTTAGTTTTGGTTGGATAACTCCTCGTATCCACCACTCCCATCATGTTCTTGTTTATTCCCTCACCTCACTCACACCATATAACAAATAGTTACAGCAAAACAACTCCATTAATAACCAACCTTGTTGTCATCCTATGTAGTTTGGTTTGACCATTTGTCTTATATAATAACATAATAGTTTTTTACTCTAAACGTGATTTTTTTACTGAAACTAGATCAAATAACTTTTACAAGAATTTATTCAAAGATGAATTATAACTTGGCGCAGAACGAAACACGTGCAAAGACCGGCCAGAGTATAGTGGTGGGCCTCCGGTCTCAACTTGTTGTTGACTTGAGGAAAGAAACAACACAGAATTTGGCACTGAAATTGATTACTATCTGCCTATCTAGTTTGAGAGGTTGGTAACATTACATAGGATCCTTCACTTTTTCTCATTTCACCCCAATTCTATTAGTACTTTAGGTAATTCAAAATTAAAAAATTAAAAATACTCTCTGAAAAACTGATTATTTCAATTTTTAATTTTTAATGGATTGAATAGACAAATTCCAATAAAAGTATTAAACATGATGAAGTAAATGAATGAAACAGCATTGTAAGTAAGCGAGTAATGGAAAGAAGAATGATGAATTAACAAGACCTGAAGAAGAAGAAGAAATCACGAAACGCGAGGAAACTGATCCTCCTAACAAAGTGCGTTTCATTTTCAAGTGGTGAAACCTAATCGTTCATGGAATTGAGGAATTGAGTATATAGTATATATAGTATAGTGCTGCTCTGTTCTTAGAACGTTGTAGAGTTGTGTAGTTTAGTATTATAGGAAGTAGAGTGTTGTAGTAGTGATTTTTTTCCCAACAAAATCAGAAACTGTGATCAGGTTTCACTTTCAGTGCCGTATATTCCAAATCAGACCTAGTGTTCTATAATTATTATCCATAATGGACGATGGTTTTTTATTTCTCAAATGGAATATTTAATTAATTACAATTAATTGTTATTTATTTTGGTGAAAACAAGGGTTATGGGTTGTATTACTATTTTCCCATCTTTTACTTATATTTATTTTTATTTAAACTACTAATGGTAATTTATGCTAATTGTCTAACTAGAAAGTGATATTTATTATTTTATACTAAGACTCTATTGGATAGAAATAAGAGTTATTTTACATATAATTACAAATAGAGTTACTTTACATATAATTACAAAACCGATAACTTTATAAATACATACGACTTTCAGAAATATTATTATCTTGCATCAATATTTGACGATACATATATCTTATACAATTCTCAACTCAAGAATGTATTGACACAATTCCTCCTTAATTTCTTCCAATCCTACGAGTAAGTATCACACTTGAATTTATCAAAGTACTACATAATATAACAGAACATGCACGATTTAGTTTTAAAACTAATTACTCAAATGAAATATCGGTTAATTATTAAAATAAATCATGTAACTTATGAATTTATCCATACCATGATTTGAATATCTATTTGACCCGAGTGAATAATTTCCTTCATAAAGTGCAGTACAAAATATCCGCAATCAATCCCATTGCGCTGACGAGGACACTGTAAATGGAAAAAACAAACGATTATTTATCAGGATATATAGTTTAAATAGTTTTATCAAGTAGAATCACTATAATAGTAAAAAATGTGAAAATATACCTGCACTCTAATCTAGCTAATGTTGTTAGCCTTCCTTTTTGGCATTTTTGCTTCTCTTTGTGATCGAAATATTTGTATAGCTCTAACATAATATAAACGAATATTTAGAACAATCTCACATAATAAATAAAGATAATTATTCAGAACAATATATTTCATCACTTACGTATCAACCATAGTCTTCATATCAGGATATTTTGTTTGATCATCATCCAATGAATCCAGATAATACACTATTTCTTTCATCAGATTAATCACGACCAACAACTAGTGTCCACTGTAAAATAAGACAAAAGTTTAGACGAAAATGTTATATAGAATGACAAAAAATGAATAATTATAATAAATGAATTTAGAATGAAATCTAACCCATGGCCAGTATTATATGGCAAAAAGTACAACTTCTCTGTATCTGCGACCATAAATGATTTGACAAAGTAATCTATGACTACATCTGGAGTGTGATTGATTGACCGTGCGTTGATACAACTAGCAGATAAGAATTGAGAATCTTGAAGTCAAATCATGCGGGATCAACATCTTGTCATACAATAACCTTAAATAAAAATATAATCAACATTAGAATATTCATTTAAATGAGCAAATAAATTATTCAATTATTTAATTAAAATTGATTGGAGTATTACCTGATGTAGGAATGCATAACACCGATGCCCATTTCAGAATGTTGGAAAATCTGGTCCAAATCCTTCTTGGCAATTGTTTCGGCATATTCAAAACTGAAAATACCTTTCTGCATAGGTATTTGACGGATGCCACCCTCAACCACATCTGTTGTTCTTACATATGTTTCAAGGCACAACCTAAAAATCGAGGAACATATGCTTTTTTTGCCTCGGCCTTTTTTTGTTGGACACCTTGCTAGATTCAGGCATCTTACCCTTGCTGACTTGTTGCAACTGTTGATCATAAACCTAAAAGTCATATAAATTCAGTAATTGGTGTATAATAAGATCACCATGTAACTGTAATAGTACTTGTTTTTTTGATGCAGTTGAATCGGTTTCCCGCACAATAATTCCCTTATCTTTTGATTTGGATTTTGTAGGAGTCTAAGATCATCATGTAAATAAGTAAATGTAAATGTAAGAATAGCTTTCATGTATGGGTCATAAAACATTTGAATACTTCATTATGATGTTCAACCTACCTCATCATCTATGAAAATGAGATGTGACGGCCATGCAACATGCGATCCTACTGCGTCTCCTACCACTATTGCGTTCGAAACATCATCTGGTATAAGCAACAATGCACCCCCTCTAACGCAATATCAACCGATACTTTCAAAAATCTAACAGGGAACAGTTTATGGTGAACTAGGTCTCCCAAAGTGTTATGCACTTTTTCCTTGCCAACCATGCGATAAGTCGGTGACGATAAATATAGCTGATAAGGTGAAATGCCCTAAACAAATAATGAATATGATTAATGTGTCAATTAAGAAAATTCTGCTATATTAATTTCAATGTAATATACACAATTACCTCTAGAAGCTTCTGCGGACAATTGATATTATTTTTGTCGCTAATATCTTTACACTCTGGACCGCGCCTTTCTGACGTGTATCTCTCTTTGTCCTTCTGTAATTCACGAATCTGAGCTTTCAATTCCTCCAACGTCTCCATCACTTCTTTATTGCTGGGATTTTTATTCTTTGGCTGCTTATACAGTTTTGATGGAGTGACACCAAATCCCTTACCCTTCACACGCCCAGAATACTCAGGAATATTTAACACTCGACTCAGTAAGCTCCTGCAATCATCGTCCTCAGCTGCAGTTATAGTCTGGGATAGAGTCTCCTGAAATATAGATAAAAGCATATATAAATATATTATACACTTTTAAGTTACTGACAAAACTAATGTTGTACTTACACATTGTTCAAATACTTGATGAACTTCTTCCTGAACGACTCCATCTCTTCCCACACGGCCAGCCTTCCACAAAACATGGTCCGGAAGAGATGTTGCATCACTTTTCTCCTCTTCTAACTGCACATTAAGACAAATAATAAAGAATTCATATCCCATTATATATACTTACTAGTTTTTGTAACTATATCATATTAAAGCATTTATATATACTTAATATTTTTTGTTGTAAGCGTGCATATCCCAAACGGCTTTTTTTGTATGGATATGTGGGTTTTGATTCCCGTTTCCGATTTACGTCACTCACAACCTGAAAAAACAAGTTTAAGTCATATCTTGTGGAAGAAGTATATATATTATACATTGTTCATGATAAGTTGTACTTACGCAAAATTCTTTGGTTCTTCGCTTGACAACAAATGTCTCCCATTCTTCATCTGAAATCAGATCATCGTACTTCTTTGGACGCTCTGATTCGACAAAGTTTCCATTAGAATCTTTAAGAAACTTGTTCGTTAAAAGCGTTCTAAATCCTCTCAGTCATTTTCCGGCCAATTGAAGACAATATGTTCTCCTGCAATCATCAATATTAAAAGATCTCTGCAAACAAACAAACATACATATAACATGTTAGTATAATTAATTTAAAGATGTAACTGTCGACATAATTAAAAAATATCAAATATCATACCTGTATCTCGCTCCAAATTTTGTCTTTAGCCGGTTGTAACGAAGGAATTCTCCAATTATCGCAAGTAATTGGAATTTGCGAACGAACAAGTGCTCCAATGTAACTTGTCAGCATCGTACCGTTAGGCTCAATTATTTGATCTCTTTCATTCCAATGCACATCATACTTTACACCTTTATCTCTCGCACAAATGATTTTTTTCATAATCGTTATTCCTTTTTTAATTTTGCCTTCCACGTCTTTTGTTGTTTCGTTTTCATCACGTGATTTTTCCTCGTTGGTGGCCATAATACCTGTAATTCAGAAAAACCAAATTATCAAATGAATGGGTTTTTCCATCATGTGATTTCATAAATGGTGAATTGTACTCTAGCATCTAGACCAAGTTAACAAGCAACTTAACAAAGCACAAGTAAAATTCATTAAACAAACTGCCAAAGATCATGAACTCCACTCACATCTTGCAATGATTGGAAATGGACACTATATGATATAAGAGGTTAACGTGTTGACAGAATTACAATACATCATTGGATTCATAAAAGCTTGACAGAATTAGTGAACCTATGCAGAACTAACATGCTATGAGTTTGATCCAAATGACCTTTTAAAAAATAAAGGAAACCTTGATGAAGGATTCAGTTTGGCAAACTCTTATCAAATGGCAGACAATGAGTACAGTCAGCTTTGAAAAACCAATTGAGGCCTAACCCTTCAAGTTCAACTATCCTACTAAAACCTAACCTATTCACCAATGGTTAACAATGAGCTTAACATGAACCATAGCAAACTGTTCTCAAGGTCCTAAACAGAACTGAGGCACACAAAAAGTTAAAACCCTCATGACAGCCTCCACTTGCTATCCAAATTAATTAAAACCAATGGTTCCTACCATTATTCTCAAAGGTTTAACAGTCAAAAATCCTCATGATCACAAACCTAGTTACAACTTTACCTTAGAAGAAGAACAACAACAACAATGTTTCCATCAACATTGTCATTTTAACATCAACAACAACACTAACATGCAGCAACATCACTAACATGCAACAACATTATTTGTTTCCATCAAAAACATTTTTAAAAAACTTGAAATACCTTAAAAATGGTGGAAATACGCTGACAGTGGAGGTGGAGGACGAAGATGACGGTCAAAACGGACGGACGAAGGCGGAGGACGAAGATGACGGTCAAAACGGATGGACGGCGAAGGAAGGAGGCGGTCGGACGAAAGCAATGGATGGAAGTTGTTGTCTGTGACTAGGGTTCTATGCGCGAGCGGGAAAGAAAGAAAAACCACGACTGTTCTATTTTATGAAAAATTCTGGAATTTTTTAAATTTATGCTACTTAAACCTATAGCAGCGCTTTTTCATGGCCTTTAGCAGCGCTTTATAAAAGCGCTCTCTAAGGTCTGCCTAAGGCAGAACCTATAAC